TGCTGAGCCCTCCCCTGCTGTGAACTGTGGCACCGGGAGGGAGGCTGGAATGCGGGCTGAGTGCCAGCCCGCAGCAGCCTCCCTCCAATGCCGAGGAAAGGTGCTGAGCTCCAAAGCCTGAGAGTTTTGTTGGTAGAGCTTGGTGACATTGGCTTAGTGACATTGGCCTTCCTGAGCCAAACCCAAGAGCCCCGAGTGGAGCATCAGGCCCAACCCCAGTGGCCCCTGAGGAAGAGGGAGCCAGAGAGATGGAAGAGTTCTGCTAGTCGAATCCTGCCTGCTGTGTGACCCCGGGCTTATCACTCCCCACTCAGGGCCCCTATTTTCTTCCATAAGCTGGTGGGCCAGGCTAGGTGAATGAACCTGAGTGACAACCTTTCCTTCTCTCTGGATCCTCTGAGATTCCGGGAGCTTCAGTTCCAGCTCAGGAAGAAGTCAGCAGGATAAGAGGGCCCCTCCAGCCTCCCTTGTGAAAACACCGTCATCTCCACAGTTGTCACCTACTTAGAGGTGTGGGGACAGTCCCCACTGTTACCTCCTTACAGGGAGGAAAGCAGGAGACCACGAGCTATGCATCTTAAGGCTCCTGTCTCCTTCAGCTTAGCCAGACCCCCTGACGTGCCGGGTCTTTAAGTCAGGCCTAGAAGGGGAAGTTTCAGAGGAGGGGAATACTGGGGAGCCCCTTGGTCATCTATCCAGACTGACACCCCACCCCTCAGGGGTCACTATACCATAAACCCCTCCTCCCAGCTCTGAACTATCAGTCCTAGAACCCTTAGAGAAGCCAGCATGGGTTGGTTTGTTTGTGAGACAGGCCTAGCTGGACTTGAACTCTCTTATGTAAACCTACCTGACCTCAAACTCACTGCAATCCTCCTGCCCCAATCTTCCAAGTACTGAGATTATTGGCAAGTGTCATCACACCCAGCTCCAGCATAGCAGGGATTTTTTTGTTTTGTTTTTAGTTTTTCATTTTTTTTCTTTTATAATTTAGTGTTCTGTGTATGTGCCGGCACCTAACTATATGTCTGCGTTATGTGATGCAGTACCAAGGAAGGCCAGAAGAGGGCATCAGATCGTGTGGCGCTGGAATTACAGGTGCTCGTGAGCTGGCTGGCCTGGGGACTGAGAACCAAACCTGGTCCTGGTGATTGAGCAGCAGCGCTTTGTGGCTCCAGGGTGGCTTTTATTAACCCAACATCACTGCCATTTTCATAGCAAGGATGCGAAATGCTCAGCGTGGCGTCCGGTGCATGATCTTAATGATAATGGCCGGTTTTAAGTTATAAGCACCTACTGTGTGTCTGGCCCTGTGCCAAGAGTGAGTTTGAATCATCTCGCAATCTTTGCCTCACTTCCAGAGTGGGTTCTTTAATCTGCATGGTAGAGATGGTGAAAGCGGGGTGCATGGGGTCAGGTGACCAGCGGGGCCACCCAACCAACCAAGGCAGAGCTGGAGTCTGGATACGAGGTGAGGGTGTAGTCAAGTCACCGCTGTACATCTTCAGGGGAATGGTCACCTCCTCCAGGGCCACCTCCCACCCTGTACCAGTCTTCTTTTGGCTCTGTGTCACCTAGCTTGGTGATGGATATTTTTTGGAACTGTAGCCAGCCCCTGCATCGTCCCCTGGGGACTGGAGTCGGCCTGGGTTGGAGCCCAGTCCTGGTAATTGATTGACCGTTGATTGATACAGGCTGTGGTTTGAGGCGTGGCCTGGCCCAGCCTGAAGCTGCCAGAAAGCAGGAAATCCACAACCAGACGTGACATCCAAGTTTGGGCATGGTGTGTGCTTCTATTTAGTCTGAGATAGTTGTTCTGGCTTTAAAAGAAGCATGGACCCTTGAGTGTAGGTCCAGCCGGGGTCACAGAAAAACAAGGGACATGTGGCTCTCAAGCTGGGGTCCCAGGCTAGACCCTCTTCAGTAGTCCTCTCCAGTCCCGACCCACTATGATTGCTGAGCTTATAAAGTGCCTGGCACGCAGCGGTTACTTGGTAAGATAACTAAATCTCACCAGAGTGGTGATAGCTGCCAGGCAGAGCTAGCTGCTTACTGTGTGACCTCTGCTGCGGGCTTGGCATTTATGATGTGAGCTAAGCAAGTCTCCCAACAACCAAGAGGCACCATGACATCTGCGTTTCTCAACCACGCTCCCTCCGGTGATGTTTAGGACCTGTGATGGTTAGTTGCATTGTCAACTTGACACAATCTAGAACCCCTGGAAATGAAATCTCAATGAGGGATAGCCTGGATCAGGTTGGCCTGTGGGCGTGTCTGTACGGGCTGGATTATGCTAATTGGTGTGGAAAGGCCCAGCCTAAGAGTGGGCAGTACCATTCCCTGGGGTTGAGTTTTTAATTATATAAGAGTATTATTCTGGTTTTCTTTCTGTACTGTGATAGAGCACTTGAACCAAAAGCCAGCTGGGAAGAAACGGATTTTTTTTGGCTTAGATTTCAATGTCATAGAACATTGTGGGAGGAGTCAGGGCAGGAGCTCCTAGGAACTAGAAGTAGAAACCTTGAAGGAGTGCTGCTTGCTGTTTCCAGCTCATGCTCAGCTACCTTCCCTACACAGCCTAGGGAATGGTGCCGCCTACAGTGGGCCGGGCTCTCCTACATCAGTTAACCATCCAGGTAATCCCCCACAGATAGACCTGCAGGCCAATCTGATCTGGGCAAACCCTCAATTGAGATTCCCTTCTCAGATGACTCTAGACTGTATCAGGTTGACAATTAGTGCTAACTAGGACGAGCTGGCCCGATAGCAAGCACAGCAAGTGCACTCTCGGTGCATTCGCTCTGCTGTTGGTGGCTGTGATGTGACCAGTTGCTTCAAGATCCTGCCTGAACTTCCCCAGCCATCATGACTGTAACCTAGAATTGGGGGCTAAAAGACCCCTTTCTCTCCAACCTGCTTTTGTTTTTTTTGGTCAGGATATTTTAACATAACCTCAAAAAAACACTTAAAACCAGACCATTCTCCTTGTAGGAGACTGCACCGGATGCTGTAGACCCCCTTGATGTCTCTGTTCAGTAGTATTCATGACTCTCACATAAGACGAGCAAAAGTGTGTCCAGATGTTACCAGATGCCCCTTAAAGGTTAGGCATTCTGCGTTGTGCTGGGGAGGAGCCCAGGCAGTCTGACGTGAGAACTGTGACGTGCCACCTCCGAACTTCACTGGGGTCCGTGCTCAAAAAGTAAGGGACTTTGTGATCCTAAGGGACACAGAGGAGCAACCTTGTGTCTTGCCTTGGGAAAGACAAGCCCCTCATCAGGTGTGTCCCTGTTGGCAAAGGAGTGTAGCAGGTGACCAGCCCTCTGTCTCCTGTAGACACACTGCCTTGACTGGAGAGCGCCCAATCAGTCACCTCAGGCCCTTCCTGCTGCTGTTGGAGGCTGGGCCTTGACAGCCCTTGCCCACTGACTGGCATGTACCACTTCCTCTCACACTTGCCCCCACCCCAGCAGTCCCTCTGTCCTCAGGGCCCACTAGCCTGCCTGTCCCCACCCAGCCCTCTTATTCTGTAGGGAGCACACTGTCCCGAGTCCCATCTTCTCTGCTTCATTACTTCCAAGGCCTGAGTCACTCATATATCAACTATACCCCTCACACAAATGCTCGATTTGGCACTGCTGGCAGACACCGATCTGCAGGTGGCCACAGGACCCAGAAGGAGGCAGGGCACAGCCTGACAGACCTGGGATAGTAGCCCAGCTCTTTCCTTACTGCTGTGTGACCTTGGGTAGGTCAATTAGCCTCTCTGAGCCTCTGGTTATTAAGAGTGTTAAAGAGTAATAAAGCTCCGATCCAAAGACAGGTTTCAATGCTGGGGGGTGTTAGATGTCTGAGTCAGGTGTGGTCAAAGAGAAACAGGAAGGGCATCCAGTGTCTGTAATTGAGCCCTTGCCTGTCCTCAGGCAGAAAAGCCTGCGTGTCACCCTGAGGACACTTTCCCCGGGCTTGTGTCCCAGGAGACAATCAGAGCAGGTGTGTGTCACCCTGACAAGAAGGCTTGGTGGTGTGGACAGCACCTCACCAGCTAGAAAATAGGTTGGAGGCAGCCTCTGGCCACTCGCAGCGGGTGGTGACATAGGAAAGGGACATTTAGACCCTGTTCTCACCCATCCTTGTCTCTGCCAGGCTGTTGGTGGACGAGGAAAGAAAGGAAGGGCCAAAACAGAGGCCTGGTTATCAACTGGTTCTGTGCCAGGCTGCCCAGCACTGCCCCCCGCCCCACCCCTCCACTCCCTGCAGGCTCCCAGAACAGCCTGTTCCCTGAACACACCCAGGTCCACCGCCCTGCTGTGACTGTGGCCTTGTCTCTGCGTCCCTCCTGCAAACACAGAGCTCCAAAGAGGCTGTCGAGACCCTTGGCTCAGAATTCATTCCCAAGTCACTCACTCAACAGTCTGAGCACCTAGTAGGTGCTTTTTACTTTCTCTCCATTGAGACCATCTTCCACATCTATGTTTTCTTCTGGACACTGAGAATAATCTTGTACGCATGCGCGCAAACACACACACACACACACACACACACACACACACACCAGTTAGCAGTGTTTGGGAGACATTTGGCTGTCACAGCCCAGGGGAGCTGCTTCTGTGAACATCCCACATTCTAAGGGCAGCCCCCATAGTAAAGGGTGTCTCAGTCCCAGCCCACAAGCCCTCTCACCTAACTGAAGCCACAGATCGGGCTGAGGTGAGGCTGAGACCCCTCCTCGGTGCCTGGACCAGAGAGAGCAGGATCCACGGGCATGATGGGAGAACATCTGCTTGTTCACGCACACTCAGCACAGGAGGCTGTGGCTTCCTCTCCCACGCCTTGGGTTTGTGTGAGACTCAGCCTTGTTTAAAATGCAGGATGCAGCCAGACCACGTGGTCAGGTCCCTTCCAGCTCTGATGGGAAGACGCTGACCACTTCCTGTACCCCAGGCTTGTGGCCTCTCTACATCGTCAGGATAGCCTTAAGCCTCTCTCTGCGTCCACAGGTATGATGCCGGCAGGGATGGCTTCATCGACCTGATGGAACTGAAACTCATGATGGAGAAACTGGGGGCCCCGCAGACGCACCTGGGCCTGAAGAGTATGATCCAGGAGGTGGACGAGGATTTTGACAGCAAACTCAGCTTCCGGGAGGTGAGTCCACCCCCAGGCCATGCCCAGCCAGCCACGCCCAGCCAGCCACATCTCAGCACTGGGTGGCCATGTGAGGATTGCAAGGCATTCTTGGCAGGGGTCCTCCTGCCTCAGCCTCCCGAGTGCTGGAATTACAAGTGTCAGCCATCATGATCAACTATTTTAAATGATTCCTATGCACTCAGCTGAGTTGTGGGAAAGGCCGTGTGCTCCGAGGGCCTGGAGATTAGAAGGGGAAGCGGCTGAAACAGGGTTACACAGCGCTTGGCTGAGAGGAAAGGAAGGCCACAGGTTCTGCTGAGGGGACCAGGTATGGTGCTAGGTAGCTTCACATTGTCTGAGGGGGAAGCAATAGAGCAGCCTGTTTAGGGAATGGCTGGAGGGACTGAGGATCAAAGCAAAATAGCCATGGTTCTGACTGGAGAGATGGCTCAGTGGTTAAGAGCACTGACTGCTCTCCCAGAGGTCCTGAGTTCAATTCCCAGCAACTACATGGTGGCTCACAACCATCTGTAATGGGATCTGATGCCCTCTTCTGGTGTATCTGAAGAGAGCGACAGTGTACTCACATTGCGGAATGGGAGCGCAGTCCCTCTGGGGCTTTGTGAATGTAGTGCAGATTTGTGTTGAGGGACAGAGGGTGGCAGGTAGAGTCAGGCTGAAGCCACTGGTGGGAACTCTTTAACCCAGGGTGCTGGCAGGACAGACCCGGAAGCCAGGGCCCAGAGCCCAGCCTATCTTGACTTCCGGTCCTGCAGGTGAGCCTTTCTGCAGAGGAATCTGAGCTGAAGCTTGGGTGTGGCCGGGGACTTTGTTCCCGTTACCCCTTGCTGACCACTGTGCCCTCCCTCCGCAGTTCCTTCTGATCTTCCGCAAGGCAGCAGCAGGAGAATTGCAGGAAGACAGCGGCTTGCACGTCTTGGCCCGCCTTTCCGAGATTGATGTCTCCACAGAAGGCGTCAAGGGTGCCAAGAACTTCTTCGAGGCCAAGGTGAGGAGCCAGGGACTGCACGGCCCAGCTGTGCAATGGCACAGCTAAGACAGGACCAGCACAGTCCCTCCCTGTCCCTCTCGAGGCTGCAGAGGAGAGGTGTAGGTGACATTTTGTGAGGTGTGCAGGGCCATGAGGTTCCCTGGAGGCCCTGCCCTTGCCAGCCCTAGCCTGGAGGAAACTGCGGGCCCTCGGACCGTCGGCATGTACAGCCTCTTCCCTTCAGCACATGTATAGACTGGGGCTGGGGGCGGGGGCGCATTTGGTCCAATGATTCCAAGACTTCTCCTTTTCTTTTTTTTTTTTTTTTTGGTTTGGTTTTTCGAGACAGGGTTTCTCTGTGTAGCCCTGGCTGTCCTGGAACTCACTCTGTAGACCAGGCTAGCCTTGAACTCTCGAAGTCAGAAATCCACCTGTCTCTGCCTCCCAAGTGCTGGTATTAAAGGCGTGCGCCACCACCGCCCGGCCGACTTCTCCTTTTCTTATTTCTCGTTTCTATGCGAAACTGAGACCTTTGCTGACCAAGGCTGCCCCCCTTCCCTTCTCTCTTCCAACCTTTGGTAGAGATTATCAGGGTTCATCAGTGGACCTGGGCCTGACCTAGGACAGGATGCCAAGGGCTTCATACTCTGCTCCTGCCAGTGAATATTTTCTGTCTCTATGTGTCTGCCTGCCTGCCCCTCCCTCCCCTCCTTCCCCCTCTTCTCTCTCTCTCTCTCTCTCTCTATTCACTCTATGTGACTCTCTCACTCTCTCAGAGAGAAATAGTCTCATATAACCCTTGAACTTCTGATCCTTCCGACCGTCTCCCCAGAGCTGGGATCACAAGTGTTCTGCACCATACCTGGTTTTCTGAAGGATAACTCGAAGCCAGGATGTCACCCATGCTAGGCAAGCACTTTACCAGCTGGGCTCTGTCTTCCCCTCCGCCCCCAGAAAGCCCTGGGGTCAGTTTCTGTGTGCCAGGTTCTATATGGAGAAACTGAGGCAGAGAGGTGACTGTGGCTCACAAGGGCCGGGGCCAGAAAGGATCCCTGGGAGAGCGGCTCCCGGGGGCTGATGTGGAGACCTTGCCCCTGATATGTCACCCTCACCCTCAGGTCCAGGCCATCAACGTGTCCAGCCGCTTTGAGGAAGAGATCAAAGCCGAGCAAGAAGAACGGAAGAAGCAGGCTGAGGAGGTGAAGCAGCGGAAAGCAGCCTTTAAGGAGCTGCAGTCCACATTCAAGTAGCCAGCACTGAGGCCACGCCCAGGCCACGCCCCGGCCACGCCCCGTGTGCGGTCTGGGGGCACGGGTGGGTACAGGGGACCTGTGAGAGACTAGCTCCCAGGTCCTGGTCTCTGTGCCCGGACCACTACTAAAACGCAAACTCTATGTGACCGGCTCTCGTTCAGGAGTCTCCTCAGTGTCTGGTCCAGGCCCTGCTCCCTCCCTCCCGCACTTCATGCGGCTGTGACGCCAGCCACCAGCATCCTCTCTGGCCATCCCTACGTGTCTTGTTCTCTGGCCACCCTGCTGCCTGCTCCAGGCCAACCTCAGCCCGTTCACACCCCTGCCTTTGGTACCAGCTACTTTCTCCACCCACTCACCTACCTTGAACTATAGGCTGCCCTGCTATGGTCTAGCAGAGAGTGAGACTCTCCCCGGGATTCTTCCTTTCGGAGCAGGCCTCATCTCTACTGGAAGTGGAGGGACTCTTATGTTAGTGAGGAAATCCAGGGACTCTTATGTTAGTGAGGAGATCCAGGCCCTAGCACTCTAAGCTGATTTAAATGGGGCCCAGCCAGGCAGGGTGAAGGCCACTGTGCGAATCTACCTCACAGGCTACACTCTGCCAGGCATGCCTTGAGGACATAAGTGATAGGGTTCTGTGGGGAGGGCCAGAAATGTCACCCTCTGACACCCTACTCCCGCAGCAAGCTGAGGGTCCCAAGGGGTCGTGGAGAGAGGGGTGGGGTTCCTAAGGGATTGGCTTTTTCAGGGTGGACCTCAGCACTCTGCCTTGATTCCCCCCCCAAGGAGTGCCTGATGTGTTTGTGTGCACTGGTAATAGGACACGGGGCGGGCACCCCTTTCACACTATCCTTCCTTGGATCTGTCACCAGTGATGGCACCAGCCTGTCGTGCCCACCCGTAGATCCCATGGGGACACCCCCCCCTCAATCCCATCACCAGACAGGCCACAGTGAAACCCATGTCGTTTCTCCATAGCTTCATGTGCTTGCTCACGTGTGTGTACGTGCGTGTCCTTTGCTGTGATGTGAAACTGTGACGTCACCCAGTCTAAGTGAACGGCCACGGGGCCACCGTTTATGCAATGTTCAGCGTGTCACTGCTTGTGAAACTCGATAACTCTTTATTTTACTACAATGCCTCAAGAGTCCTCGGGAGCCCTGTGGGACTTGCAAAGGTTTTATTTTTTCGGTCTTAGAACCTATGAGAATTGGAGGGACCGAGTCCAGCCCAGCCCAGCCCAGCAGCCGCGGCCCTGGCTTGCGTTTGCCTTAGTGGATATGTCTATACAGATGAATATAAATTCCCTTTACTTTTGGCTGTTTGCATTTTATTTTTGGTTCCCCCCCCCAGCAACTCCCTCACCCCCGAAAAGAAAAAAAAAAGGCTACTTCTTCATTCGGTGGTACGATTATTTTTTTTAACTAAAATGAGATAAAATTCTATATTCTTATGTGTGTGTGGTTTTTGATGACTAACTGAAGACACAGGCGAACAGGATAAGGATAGGGTCTCTGGATCTGGGCCGGCACATCAAGAGCCTGGGGAGGAGGGCACTCCTGCTGGAGAGGTCTGTCCCTTAGCATCTGTAAAACACTACTGATCTAAGCGCTACCTATATTAAACCCATTTCATCCTTAAAGGAGCTCGCTGAAGGAGCACTGTTTTTTAATCCCTTTTAATGATAAGAATAGGCAGACCGGAAGGTCTGCGGGCACACAGACAGATCGGGGCAGCAGGATTCTGCCCATCCATGGTGGCTAACCCACAACGCGAGCTTTCATCATAAGGCCACCTGCCTTGAGATTTCACAGAGACCATCAGAATGATGACCAGAACAGATGTGGTACACACCTGTCATCCTGGCCTTCCTGGGGCTGAGGTGAGAGGAAAGAGAGTTCAAACCAGGTTGGCCTGGGCACAGACCCTGCTGTCTATAGAATCTGTAACCAAATCTGTGTAACCAAATCGGCGTTACCAGAGGTTCAGCATCAGTGAGCCCCACCCCTAACCCCCGCACGCACACAGATACGCACTATCCTCAATGTCCCTGGAGTGCTGGAGCGGCTGCAATGGTGGGATCAGCAGCCGCCTGTGTGGGACCCATGGCATCCCAGTCTTCATCTGCTCCACTGAACTGGGAGCTCCAGGTCTTTACAGACTCGTGGTTACAGCCTAAGCCCAGTAGGGGAAGTTTCTGATTAGTCTGGATGCTGCTGCCCCTATGCGGCCATGAGTGGAACTGCAGCATCAGACGGTCCTTAGCCCTGCCTGGGAAGGGCAGTGTTCTGGGGGCATATATCCTGGGCACACCACTCCTCACGTGCTACCCAATGCCTGACATACTACCACCCACCACTAACAACGTTTTAAGACGATCATCTCCCTTCAGTACCTTTTTGCGGGGGTCGCTGCAACCAGCAAGCGACACAGCCTTCGGTGAAGCGATCCAAGTGAGGTCAGGAATGAAACTCAGGTCAGCACAACTTAGCTGGTTCTGGGTCAAAACCTCTGGAATCTATGCCAAAGGATTTGTCCCGGCTTGTTTGTTTGTTTTTGTTTGTTTGTTTTGCATATTTTTAACACAGTAAAACTTGGAGGGGGTGGTTTCCACATAGCAACTGCCCCAACAAAGCTTTAGACATGGCTACATGGAAACTCCTTTGCTAATAAGTACATCTCTAGAAAAAAAATCACCTTGTGGCCTTTTCCACACGAATGAGTTGTATTGACTGAGAAACAGTGTTCAGGGATCAGTCTGGGAGATTCGATTTGAAAGCCTGCATGTGGTTTTTCTAGTGCTTTTCTCTCTACAATGACCCACTAGGGATTCTCTAACGGGCTCTTCCAGGGGTTCTCAACCTTCTGAGTGCTGCGACTCTTTAACGCAGTTCCTCACGTTGTGGTGATCCCCCCAACCAGAAAATTATTTCGTCGCTACTCCGTACCTATTCTCCGACCGTTATGAATCCTAATGTAAGTATCTGCTCTGCGGGATCTCTGATATGCAACCCTTGTAAAAGGGTCGTTTGACCCCGTGGAAGGGCCGTGAGAACCACCGCGCTAGTCGGGCAGACTCGGGAAGGGGAACCAGATTGAAAGGAATCAGCTTCCATTCAAGTCGCAGCTGCCCTGGCGATGAGCGTGGGCGGACAGCCCTCAGAATCCAAGACCAACAGGCTGACTTTCGGGTGCCAGAGCCTCAGCTATTGGGGACCTCAACCTTTGCCTGCCAAGACCCCACCCACTCAGAGCCCTGCTGAGAAAGCCAGCGGAGAAATGAAGTGGCTTCAAGTGACCCAGTTCCCAGGAGAAAGTGCTCCAGAAACCATCCCCAGAGCATGGTCTGGTGGCACATGTCTGTAAGGCCAACGGTGAGGAGACAGCGACGGGACGATCAGGATGTGACGTGAGCCGCAGCTCCATGGACCCATGGTGGATGGAGAGAACCAATTCCACCAAGCTGCCCTCTGTCCTCCACATGTACACCATGGCGTGTGTGTGTGTGTGTGTGTGTGTGTGTGTGTGTGTATGTGTGCGTGTAGTGCACACACACACGTAAATAACTACATGTAATTTAAAGGATTTTTTTTAACCCAAACAAATTAAAAACCTCCCCGGATCTCTGTCTTCTCATTAATCCTCTCCCAGATCCAAGCCGCTCAAATCTCCATTGCTCTCTCCCAGATTCCTCAGGGACTCAGAAAAAGACTAAGGGTCTCACCATGTAGCCCTGTTTGGCCTGGAAATCTCTTTGTAGACCAGGCTAGCCTCGAACTCTGCCTCCGTCTCTCGTGAGTGCTGGTATTAAAAGTGTACACCACCACAGTTAACCCCACCCTTGAACTAACCACTCTACCTCACTGACCTGAAGCTCTTCAGCGAACCCCCAAACTCCGAGGCCACAATTCTTCCCTGTGTTATTTGAGGCAAAACCTCGCCAGCTCTCCACCCTTCCTGCTTTAGCGAATAGAGGCAGTGGCTGCCACCATGGCTTGTCAAAGCCGCCAGAACCCAGTCCCCCGTAGCTAACACCTGCTCCTTTCTCAGGCTCTTGCTCCACTTCCTCCCTCCCAAACCATAGCGTTGCTTCTCTGGAGGCCTTGGGCATCACCTGGTCACATCCCATCAACCCCACACGTCTTCTGTGGTTATTTTTCCATTACAGCTGCTGGCTCTGAGATCTCAGGTCCCGAGAGTCACACTGTGGGCCCTGGAAATGAGGGCTACCTACAGTGGGACAGAGTGGAGGGCGGTGACATTCTCAGAATGTGGAATCGGCGGAGAAGAAACGTTATTACTCGGGTCCTATCCAGCTCCCACCTAGGATAAAACTCATCTCTTACAGAGATCCAGCAGGACATACACATAGCAGGTGTTTAATGAATCTTGGGGTAATTAATTAATTCATATATGTATATATATATGTATATATATGTATGTATGTATATATATATATGCATGTATATATATGTATATATATATAACCAGTGATATATATATAGTATATATAGTGTGTGTATATATACAGCCAGTGATATATTATATATATATATATATATATATAGCCAGTGATACATATATATATATATATGTATATATATATATATATACACACATACATACACACACATATATATATGTGTGTGTTATTATTGCCAGTGGTACACACTTAAATAAAACACACATCTATAAGCAAGTAAAGACAGCATGAAACCCTGACCGTCAGTCACAGGAAATCCACACAACCAGCCCAACCCCACCCTTCACAGATGCCCATCAACTGCCTCTGAGAGCCTTTGCCGTCTTTATCATCATGACTAGAAAGGAAGTCAGCCCACCTAATATCATAGTGTGGGCAAAGGCTAACGGCATCCCTGCCTAGCCACTCTCTGTGCCAGAGCCAGGGACAGAAGTGCCAACGAGGCTCCTGCCCACTCTACCCCCTGCTCTGGAGAAATGCTCATAGACACGCTAAATACACTCAAGGCTGGTGGCAAAGCCCTGGTATCTTGAGGGGCCCAAGAGAATGCTTTGATTTCTTTAAAATCGTCAGGAAGTGGAGATGGGGAGGTGGCTCAGCGGTTAAAAGCATTTGCTGCTTTTACAGAGGACCCAGGTTTGGTCCTCAACATCCACACACCCGCTTACAACCATCTGTAACTGCAGTTCCAAATCTGATCTCTCCTGGCCTCCCAGGGCAGCATGTGGTATACAGATATACACGTAGGCAAACACTCATACACGTAAAATCATCTTTACATTGACCAAGCCAGCTCAGTCAGTCCACAGGGTCTCGAGGGAGGGAGGATTAAAGAAAAAAAAAGACAATCAGACAACATTATATTATGACCCCAGCAAATGCTGAAGTGGGTTTATTTTTTCCTAGTCTGCTTTCCCAGCATTCTTGGTACATGCAAACAATAGGGTCAGTCCTACATTAAGGGCAAAGTAGTCAATGCATAGACAAAGATTACTGTGTGTTCAGGGACTTAAGACGATCAAGCCGCGAGGAGCCCATTCCTCAGCTGTACTTATCTGGAGCCTTCTTCCTTGTCCTTGTCTGGCGTAAATCATTCTTGCCAGTATTCTTGAAGGGGCATCATGAGTTCTCCACATTACATTTTTAAATTATCGTAATAAAGTAAAATCAGTAGAAAAAATATACAAACTGAGTTACAACATCTGCAAAGGCAGACGGCAGCCCTGGACTCTAGTTCCACACGCTCTGACCGAAGAGGGAGGCTGGGTGAATTCACTCCACCTTGGAAACCCCATGCTTCTAGCCAACCACATGGCCTACCCAAATTAAACAGTAATTACCAAGGTTAGGAAAAGGCCTTGTCAGGACAGGTTTGTCCCCAGGTTTAGCTCAGCCTTGACCTCTGCGGCCTCACCTCCTGTCTCCGATGCCTATAAATGCCCATCCTGTCCACACCAGCCAGTCCTCAACACCTGAGCCATGTTGGGAATTACAGTCCTCGCTGCCATCCTGGCCTGCGGTAAGCTTGGGCGTGGGGACCAGCTGTATCCAGCTGGGTGTAAGATCAGGCTGGCCTTAGGGGTGTCCTCTGCTCCCCCAAAAAGGCACTTTTGGGTCCTGTGTGGATTCACCCACTGAGCATGTGTGTGTCGGTTAAGCCTCTTCCTGATTGGTAGGTCCCAGAGAGGAGACAGAGAGCTTCCTCCAGGGTGTGAGGTTTAGACAGGACACCCTGGGCAAGACCCACAGTAGGTGCTTCATTCTGGGTTCACTCCAGTAAGACACTGGGCCTGTATTTCCCATCTGTGTCCCCCACCCCCAGGGGCTCTTTACTCTTCCATTTTGGTGACATTCTCCCAGATCACAAACTAAGGGTGCTACGGGATTTGGTTTGTTTTTGACACGTGAAAGCTCTTGATCGGGAATCCTAAGGGCTCTCTAGGTGCAGGAGCGAGCTGGACC